CTTCTCTCTTCTTCTTCTCTCTCTTTTTCTCTTCTTTCTACTACTCTTTTCTCTCTAACTTATCTAACTTATTTAGTAAGTTAAGACTTATTAAAATTATCTTTTATTTCTATTTCTAAAGAAACTTTTACTATTAGCAGATATAAGTATAATAAGCTAGTATCTCTTAGATCTAGGCCTTAGTCTACTTATTCTCTAAAAAGAGTTTCTCTTCTTAGACCTTAATACTCTCTTAGTTATAAACTAAGAGTATTTAATTTATCTTCTTAATATTATATAATTTTTTAGTAGATATATAGGTACTATAGCGACTATATTTTAGGTTCTAAGAGACTATATACTCTTTTTCCGCCTTTTTATAGTAAGAGTAAAGTACTATTTTCTTTCTAGTTAGATTAATTTATTTACTAAGAGCTATAATATTAGAATATTTAGTTATATAGTCGGGTAGTATATTAGAAGAAAAGAAAGTTTATAGCCTTTAATCGATATATTTCTTAGTTATACTTAAGTATATAGACCTACTAGTTCGAATAGAGGATAGTATTATAAGTAGCGTCGGCCTCGGCGTCGTAATACTCTTAGAACTAAAGGTCCTAGAATTAGGCGAGGTTATAAGAATCGAGTAGTTTCTAGGACTACTATCTAATAACTTAATTTAGTTAAAGTTAGTAATATTTATATTAGCGAATAGGCCCCGGTTTAGAGTACTATTACGTAATAATAAAAGTTCGATAAGTTCGCTAGATAAACCTATCGAACTAGCTAGAAGTTTAATAAGTTTAACTAATAAACCTATTAAACTTAAGGAAAGAAAGTTCTATATAATAAGTATAATTTCCTTAGATAGAAGCTTTATACTTAACTTATTATAGTAATAGTATATTATCTATTTAACTTACTTTTATTATAATAAATAGATCTCTAAATCTATAAGTAATAATCTCGCGCCTACTTCTTAATATACTAACCTTATAATAACCCTAGTCTACCTCGAGTAGAATCGAATCGTTATACTTCTCTCTACTAACTATTACGTTAATAGCTAGTAATCTAGTAGTATAGGTTACTAGTAAATTAGAAGAGAGTCGCGCCTAGCGGGACTAGTTTAAGAGATAAATCGAAGTTCTTAAGAATAGCCTAGAAACTTATAAATAATTTGTCGGCGTCGGAATCCTTAGTAAGCTCTACCCTACTTGTATAGTATATCGTAACTTATACGTCCATTTTAGATAGTACTCTAGTCCTAGGCTAGGATTTCACGAAGAATAGTCTTACTTAGTCGGATAATAATAATAACGATAATAATACTAGTACGACGTATTAAGAAGTTAGATCGTTGTCTAGTCTGTCTCCCGAGGTATCTCTAAGGTTAAAGGGAGAATTAATAACTAGCGAGCCGCTTCTAGTAGAGGTTCCGGAAGAATCGGAACGAGAACTTAATTTCGGATTTACTCCTAAGAATAAGGTGAAGAAGGGGAAGGTTGCTTCTAAGAAGGCTATATTTGAGTTTAATAGCTAGCTAAATTATATATACAGTATAGTTAATTAATAGCTTTAAGTACGGGTTGCCTATAGGCGTACACAGTCTAAACCTCTATTGTATTTTTCGTCTTCTTCCTGTGAAGGAAATCGTGAGCGTATAATCTTTTGCTAGTGAAGTGCGGGAGGAAATTTGGAAAGTTGCCACAATGATCAGCACGATTGTGCGTCTTGCTTTAGTTATGCTTGTTGGCCGTGCACCTCCCAACAAGCTTCCAATCTGCCACCACACTTTTGCATACTCACGAGTTGCCGCTTCCTCATCACGTTATGGGTTCTCACGGACCTTGTCTCGAGTTCAATACAGTCAACTCTCGCTTGGCAGCTGGGCAAAGCCGCCACTAGCATTCATTTATCCTGCGACAGGACTATTGGGGTGATCGTCTTTGGTAGTACACGGAGGAGAAGGTGAGAAAAGAATTTCTGGTAAAGCAATCGAGAATGCCAGGAAGGAGTTAGCACAAGCAATTCTTTAGTACTAACAACTTTCTTGCACGCATATTTTAATACAGTAGTATCATCAATCAAATAGTACAAATAGTTCGTTTGTACTGACCGTGAGGGTTGGATTGAGTAGCTATGGGTGGTTCTATTTACTGCACAAGACGTAACGCGAAGAATTAAAAGTCAAAGAATGCGTGAGGAGACCCTTTAAGGGGATCTTCCTGAATACATAAGCATATAGATAATAGACGAACCACTTTTGCCCCTCCCCGTTCTACATGCGAAAAATCAAGTTCGCATGGTTGCGAATTATGCCTGAGGCCTCGAAGCGATCTGGTTGCCAACTCAGACACAGCACAAGCGTGCTAGAACCGATGGCTTCCCAGCACTTGGACAAGGTTGGCACAGTTGCTCTAGCCCTGGGTTTGTGCCCACACTATTGGGCTGGCTCGTATTCAGTGCTGGCCTAATTGTGCTGGCACCGTATTCGAGCTAAGCTCAGAAGCGGGGCTGGCCCACCAAGTGTGCCAGCACAAATGGGCGAGATCTGTGTGTGGGCTAGTAGTCTTGGTATTTTGCCTCGAGCACGTCGAGTATTATCGGCACTGCTAGTATCACTCCTTTAAAGATACTAGATGAGTCCTGGCATTCTAAAATATTCTATAGTATCCGTATCTATGCATAACAGTAGAGGTCGATTTGAGACATATCGCGATCTTTCAGTTAGAACTGTTCTTGGCTGGTAATCTTCGACTTGCGCAAGTACGCAAAGATAATCTTTGCTGGTCTTACAATTACAGATAATTATCAAGTAGTGTTGTGGTTGACAATTGACCTGCCGAGGTAAAGGTGGACGTGGTGGCATAGCTTGGCACGCTTTCGAAGAATACGCTGCAATGCCGTTAAGGAAAGGTCTGATTAAGGAATACGTAACATCATAAATCACGTCTTAACATGCAAAGATAGAAGTGGCGTCATTATTTTGTATTTCTGCCCTGAATCGAATATGCCTAAGACAAACAATATCTCTAATATCTAGACAATTGACCTTTGTGCTGGACCACGTCACATTACAACTCTGGCAGTCTTTCCTCAAGAAGTGTCTCGTTAAAGAACCTGGGCTGGCATACGAGACTACCCTCTCACGCAGTGTCAATGAGGGATTTCCAAGGCAGACAAAATATTTCGTCGACCACTCTTCTCCCTTGATAGACCGAATCGCCTCGCTGAGGACATCAGGCTGCTGGGGTTTGACGACCAAATGATTGACGTTCTCTGCAAGACCTCCACGCTGAGCATGACAAAGAAGCAGCCCTTCCTCAACGCCTCAATACGCTGTTATGGCATTTATCGCTACCATCCGCCGCCGAGTCTCACTTTCGAGGGACGTTCCGGGCAGACTACGAAGCAGGCTTTTGATAATTAGTATTGTTTCAGATCTCAGAAATGGTGCACGTACCTTAAGGGGGAAACCCATATAACTCAAAGAAAGTGGTCATTTTTCCTTCGGAGGGGTCTTGTTTGCAAAAAACCAAGAGTATTTCTCCATAAACCTGTCGATCTCGGCAAACGCTGCTGCGGGTTCGCGCGTTTGCATTTCGACCTCACCAACAGAATGGTCAAAGTCCGTCAAGTCTAACATGATAGAAAATTAATGATCTGCGAGAAAGCTTTCCCTCGTTGTAAGGTAGCGACAGATGCTATTCAGACCGAAGTTGACTTCTGGACTACGCCTATAACCTACAGGCACAAAGGTAGCAACGAGTTTCTTGATCTCGTCAGCCTTTCTATCGACAAATTTTGATTATAGACAGCGAGACAGGGACATTGTCTCACGCGTATTGGCCTTCAAGCCAGAGTTACCCCTTGCATAGATAAATATTTAGATTCCAAGACTTTGACTTTGGCAATTTTGTCTCAAAAAATTAAGGTCGACAAGGTGATTGGTGAGTAATAACAGATGCTCTGCGTCTTTGGTAGTTATACAATGAGTAGAGAAAAACATTTCTAAAATAATTAGAATTCACTTAACATTCCGATGTTGTTGAACGAAATGTTGAAGGCCCTTCGGCTGCTGTTTGTTGTTGGGAAGGTCAGATGGCCGAGCGGGACAATGCAGTCCGGCACGTCAGTTTGTCGCAGATAAGACACGCAGAGACAAGGTTCCTGTGGCTGAGCAAATGTGTAGCTGTGTTGACTGATAAATCTTAGTAGTACCGGTTCAAGTATGAGCTAGAAATGGATTTTGACTTAGGATCTGCTTGCTTGGGCTTTAGATTTGGTTTGGCTGCTACTCTCGGAATGGTTACTCGAACACTCGAGGGGAGAGACTTTCCGATGTTTGGTTTGAAGCATTTGAAGCATTTTCCTGTCTTTACTTGTGATTTGAGTTGCCCCTTCTTAGCTCGATTACCAAGCTATTACACATCATTGGTCCCAAATCCCTTGAACGCCGGAACGTCTCTCCGGGCATGCCCGGAAACCAGCTCACACGATCTTTTGTAAAATGTTCCACCGTCGGCCTCAATTTCGTCTCGTGGAGGTTAAGATCATCAACGGTACCCAAGCGTATAAAATTTATCCCCGGGAAGGCATCTCCAACGCAGTTCATGAGCGTACCACACGTCTTGCAGAAGTAATTGGTCATCGCCTTGCCCGTGGTTGGTGTCCGCTTGACTATAGACTGATACGTTGTCGCGGCCGCGCACGTACTTGAGATATGGATCTCGAATAGTGACATTTGATGCGAATATTGAGGCGGTGACTTTACGGCAGTCGTGCAGTTACAGACAAAGGCGCTACAATCGAGCACTTCGTCTCCGCATTCATCCCCAATGCTGAGATACTATCGATCTTAGAGATCCCAATGTATCACCTTTCTACGAGGACTTCAATCAGTTGAGAAGCTTCCCGGTCGATGATTGAATTTGAAGTCTAAGCTGTAATTCCTGCGAATGTCCCGCGCGTCGACTCGAGTCATCTTACTGGGTATGCAGGACTTAATTGCAAAACGCCTACTCCAAACCCCAATGCTTGCGTAATAACCGGGACTTATTTGCAGTCTCCCATCCTGTACACGTCCTAATCTCCCTGAGGTGTTTCAATATCACGATCTGTTCTTCAGGTCTCATGTAGTGCTGCGCAGCAATTGCAATCGGTTCGATGTTATTGATCCACTGATTCCTGGGTATGAAATTTATGTTAGAAAAGTTATAACAATATTTCTGGGGCAAATAGATCTAGTATCAAATGACTTACGGGTCATTTGATATAGAAATGGCACCAACCCGTCTGGCATGACAAAGGGGGTTTGACTGTATTCCTTGTGAGCGGAGTCTACTAGACTGGCCTGTTGTGCTTACAATTGTAACTAACGCACGTGGGAACGGTTGTAGCTGAGATGTTTGAAGGAGCAATATGCAGCTGGTGTGATAGAATATGTTTCCACATACTGAGGATAAAAAGATGTTACTATGTAATCCATAGGCATCGAATCACCACAATCTAGTAAAAAAGTACAACTTCGCCGTTTGATTGCTTACCTGCAGAGGAGTTGCTGAACAGGATTACAGGGAATGCATCGTTCTCTCCAATTTCAAGTTCCAAGACAGGTTTCATGCACTCAGGCCTCGATATAACCCAGGATTCCAGAGCTTCCCACAGCTCCTGAAGAGTGCCGGGGGCGCAATGGTCATGACGGACTTGATTGACGATTCTGGAAAAGATGAATATTACTCTGTTGGCCCAGTGATCCTGCACATTATTGGTGTTTGCAGATGAGAATCTGTGCCATAAGTCCTTGTGAATAAGTGTTGATTGCCGGCATTGATATGCAGCCCATACATCTAATTAAATCAGTATGTGTCATTATCCAAACTAGGCAGATATTATTTACCTAGACGAGCTAATGCCCAAAAACAGGCTATCGAAGTCAAGGAGAGTGGACCTTCCCATGTATGAAGTTGCAGCTTGTTTATGTAGGAGCGTAGTTGTGTTCGTAGATCTTCTGCCTGAAATGTCATTGCACAATATAAAGAGAGAACGACGGTAGTAAGAAGAAATGAAGCATTGTTGGATAACTGGGCACTTCGGTTGTCAGATGCCCCCTGAAGTAGTAATCTTGCATATTCGTACAGTTGAGAACTTAAGTTGGAGCTCTCATGAAGATTGGCGGTGTTTTCAAGGAATCTGGCGGAGACTGCCAACGCAGCTGAGCCAAAACAACTCGACTGTACTACAAGTCGTCCGTGGAGAGCACTGAAAGTCTGAAGTGAGTCTGCAAGCTCGCACCAGTGTGACACATTGTTAAAGTAGCAAAAGATCAGTTTGCTCTTCATTGAATGGTCTGTGATGAAATAAGGGATGCCAGGGTATGATAGAGCTGTATAATTCGGACGTGCTATATTTAGGCACTCAGGTCCGGACAGGTCATTTGAGCGATCCACTGTATCAATGCCATACAGCGAAAAAGCGCCTGAATTTGCTGGTGTCGAATCCTGGTGTCCCAATTGGTGTGTTGGGGTCCTACACTGTGGTTCTAAGTGCGAAGGTTTTGAAACACCTGTTTCTTCATCTTCCGTCGCACTCGGACTAAGTACTTGAACCTCCTTATAAGCATGTGTATGGCGTGTAGGAGAAGTAAGTGTAAGCGAAGAGGTACTGAATGAGGTGCTATGGATGGCGTTCTCTGCATGCACTACGTAATCCGTTTCCACAAACTGAGAAAGGTTTGGTTAGCACTTTCTGTGGAGTGGTGAAAAGAAAGAAAGGTACAATATATTGCTTGGGGATGGGCCTGCCAGTTTCAATGCTTCTAAGAGTCGATAAATCGTGCTTGGATAGGCGTGTTATACGCGAATTGTCGAAAGATAGCTTAACACCCCATTTGCAATCATGACGAAGACGTCTACAACTCCCACACAGTGGGACTACCTCATCACCTGTAACCGTTAATCTATGCTTTTGGCATGCTGGAAATGACCTGGTTGGACTTGCACTTGATATGGCGACTTCTGCAAGTAAGACTTTGGCATATCAGCAACGTAACAGCAGGTTGAGACCTCATAGAGGACCTACCAGCCACGTCGTGACCGAGTGTGTACAACCTTTCCGGCCCTATCAACCGTATCTATGGAAGAGGTAGGCGAGAAAGTTCTGGTCTCCATAACGAAGCAACTCCCCTACAGGTCAAATGCGAGGGTCAAATCCGTCAACAAAACTGAGTTATCGTCGTTTTGGGATACTGCTTTGGGTGCGTCAAGCAAGGCCTCTGAAGATCTGGTGAGGTGTGCTGCCAATGTGGCAGTAGAACGATCGCTTCCTCGGATGTGGCGGCTGAAATCTGAGGCCATGCACTGGCGTGGTTGAGAGCCAAGGCTCCTTCCTGAAAGCTTCCGCTTTAGGAGAATGCAGCCGTCGAATTGAAACCTTTGGCATGACGTTTCCGAAAGTCTTAACAGGATTTTGGAGCCGAAAAGGGTATTTTTGAATTTCGAACAGAAAGGCTTTGGTAATATTACTCAAGCTGTGTACTGCCTCCTCTTTCATCTCTTTGGTAATGGATCACAGTCGCCTTCGATGTGTAATGAGTATTTTTTCGAAGCTACCGGATTTAGCGTCTGTTCATCTCTTATTCCTACTCAATTCGATGTGAAGTGGGGTAGGGATCCCTCACGTCTCGGGCGTCTCTTATTCTTTCTGAAAACAGAAAAACATACTCTAAAAGAGATATTGGTTGTCGTGCTCAAAGTCTTCCTGTCTTGTTAGTGTTGTACGAAAGACATGCTTCTTCGACAACAATAGGATTTCTACCCGCATTATGAACCAAAGTTCGCTCAGGACCCGAGATCATGACGTCGAGCAAAGTGGAAGAACAAACACTGCTTACAAAGTAAACTCACCATGAAAAGTACATAGCCATGTCATGTCCCTTGTCCAAACCTATCACGGCGCACACCGAATACCACAAGCAAAAGAATACGATAACCAATAGCATCTATTCCTTCTCCGACAAGTTATCATCTCGGTACAGCACCTTAGATATCGTCCATCCGTCCTATACAACGGAGAGCGATCATGTCCAAACAAATCGTGTTCCGTCTTCAGAGTCGCACAGGTTATCAAAGCATTAAGCAAGTCGAGGAAGCCATCCCAACAATTGACAAGCATGAAGTCCTCGTCAAGATCCGCGCCGTCTCTCTCAACTATCGTGACGTCGTAGTTGCCAACGGCGGCTATCCCTTTCCCGTCAAGGATCAGGTCGTTCCATGCTCTGACTCCGCCGGAGAGGTTATCGAGATCGGCAGCTCTGTGGAAGGTTTCGCAAAAGGTGATAGAGTTATCGCCGTGTTTGACCCCACCAACCTCTTCGGACCCCAGAAGGATTGGCACCACGGTCATGGTGGCCCAGTGGACGGGGTGCTGCGCGAATATGTTGCTTTCCCTAGTAGTGCCCTGATCAAGATTTCCGGAGCGTCTGGCTTGAACTTCTCACAAATGGCCGCCTTGGTCTGCACCGGTGTCACGGCCTGGAACGTTCTCTATGGCAACCAACCATTGAAACCTGGCCATACTGTTCTTTTCCAAGGTACATGTTCTCGTGCTCACGCAATTCCCTCCCCAGCATGAATCTATAATAACCTGACTAGGTACTGGCGGTGTCTCCATCACTGGCCTCATCCTTGCAAAGGCTGCTGGAGCCACAACTATTATCACTTCCTCATCAGACGAGAAGCTTGAACTCGTCCAGAAGAAATACGGAGCTGATCATACCGTGAACTACAAGAAGACGCCAGATTGGGCAAGTGAGGTTAACAAGATCACGGAAGGTCACGGCGTTGACTACATTTTCGAGAATGGAGGATCAGGCACTATCAAGCAGAGCATCGATTGCATCGCTATGGGAGGCATCATATCTGTGGTCGGTTTCCTTTCCGCGGCCAAGCAAGAAGATATGCCTGATGTAGCTGGACTTGCACTATCTAAGGGAGCTGTCGTTAGGGGAATTACCGTCGGTTCGAAGCAGTTGTTAGAAGAGCTGGTGCGGTTTGTGCTGAAGAAGAAGTTGTCTGTACCGGTTGAGAAAGAGTTTGGTTTCAGCGCCAAGGATGTCCAGGCTGCATTTGACTATCTTGTTGGTGGAAGCCACATTGGCAAGGTCTGCATTGTCATGGAATAGGCGAGCGGTATGTCGTCAGAAAGGTAGACACAATCTGAAGAGTCAAGTCTGCGGAACCTGTGAAGCTAGAAACTCGTTTGGGAGAAGTAGCCCTAGGTTCGGCAATCACGAAGTCGGTACAAACACACTTTCCCATAATAGGCTCAACAGAAATTGACTTGCTTGTGGCAGAATTGTTGATTTCAGGTTGAAGAGGTGAGGTTCTAGTTTTCTTTAGTGTGCTTGGTCCAACCCTTCTCCTTACAAAGCACATTTCATATCAAGTCCACGGGACTCCGTAAACACTGCTTTATAAGCTCGTACACTCCTCCTATGTACGACTCAGCAAGTGATCTGCCACTGGTTCTAAAGTGGAGCCGCAAGACGCACGCACGAAAGTGTAGATGTTAGCCAACCACGAAATCGGCGTACGATTCATCCAAAGAGAATTCACACGCACGAACGCAACACCCGCCTCCTATTTGGCCGAGTCGTCGTCTTGTGGCCTGTGCGTGTTGAGTACATCGCGCAAGAAGGACAGCCGTCAAGGCTGCGTAAAGACTACTGCTGGCTACTCGCAAGCGGATTTTCATACTTTAACGAAAGAATTCCTCGTTCAATCATCCCTTCTAGCTGGAGAGCACCGCAGCGAGTGGAGAAATGCTTGACCAAAGAGAGGAAATTTTCATATGCAATTCCTCTTCGTCACTGATATCCATTACCCTGCTCTTGTCGTCACGACATCCGTTCGCGGTACTTTCATTCCTTGCTACGGCATCAAACGTGTGACAGAAAGATGCAGTATTGCCAGATGCCTTCGTTGCCTCAAACGGAGGATCGTGAATCCAGTTGAGTAACGTCAACACGCGCGTGTCAGTAACAGCAGCTGATATCTTATGATCTACCTGATGTTGGAAGGCAGCCATAGTGTCGAGAATAGCGAATATCACCTTACCTCCCACAACCTACACAGATCAAACAAGCGTAATCTGGCACACTGCCTATGCCTGCAATGGTTTTCAACGGGAAAACGTGTGCGTGACTCAACTGCACAATGCCAAGCATCTAGTGCTATACTGGCAGAGCGTGATGCGAGAAAGCGACGTCTAGAAAATATTAGGAAGACTACCAAGAATTTGAGGGGCAAGATAAATAAGCTCGGCGAAGGCACTGGTCTTTGGACCGTATTTATCAGCTACAACCTTTTCATAGAAAACATGGTACCTTGATTGCAACTCTACGACATAGTCGGACCCCTCCCCAGACATATCATGTAGACGATGCAATACAGGAACTCTCTACATGGCCTGTGAAAGATGGAGTGGGCGAACATGGCACCTCTGTGGACGGCGAATCACGACAGTCGGACAATTCATTGCTGATTTACCAACAACTATTTGGCTTGGTTCCGTATGGTGCACCTGAAGGTGACATCCAGCAACAAGCATCATGTACACAAAAGTCTGTAGATGAGAATACCAACCGGCAAAATTTGGGGAAAAAGAGCTGTGAATTGGTGCAGTGGTGGAGACGTCCCCAGTAAGAGCTTGTCTTGATCCTACCGTGTGGGAACGATTTCTTGGAAATGAGATAGTATTCTTTTATGTTTAAATGCTTAGATCATTCGCTATGACTATCAAGACTATTCGCAGGAGTGTCGTTCAAACTCTAACCCTTCTCTTTTCACGTTATATAACCAGAAATTCAGAACATAACTGTCTTTCATTCGATAATGCTGCCATCAAATTATCCATGGTTTTTCAAAGCATTTTGGAACCAGTCAGCAGCGGTAGTTTGGGGTGCTGCAAGCTCGTAGACTTCCTTACTCGTTGTGGCGACGGAGCACTCTCCATTCCATCCCGTCACTGGCGCATACTTGATAGATTGAATAAGATGCGGTTCTGGAGATGAAGCCGCCATCTGTTCGAGGAAGTCTAGGTCTCTATACTTGACATTCTCCACTTTGACCCCGATTTCTTTCTCCACTAGGTCCACGATTCCTCTACCGGTAACGTCATCGGGTCCGTTCAACACATACTTCTTCTTGTTGTGGATGGAATGATCCTCTGCGCTGAGAAGTGCGGCAGCGAACCTCCCCACGTCATCGGCATCCACGACCCCCACCTCTGCCTTCTCATCTAGCAACAATGCAAGCTTTCCTTGCTTCCCCGCCTTGCGGAAGTTTTTGACAAACTCGACTGCGGGCGGGATGGTGAAGGTGAAAAATACATTGGGCTGGAGCGAAGACCACTGCAACTTTTCAAATTCGGGGGAACTAACAATTGCTCGACGGCCCAATGCTGACGAGGATAATAACACTGGAAGTCGGGACGAACGTTCGCTGCCGTGGTGGAGATGCGAACAACGTACTTGACGCCGGCCCGTAGGGCTGCAACGTGAAACGTGGACTCCTCTGCGAAGTGCGGGGGTAGATTGTGGGATGCGATAAAGGCCTTGACGACGTTACGCTCGCGAAGCCAGTCGCCGTCAATCTCTGGCCACTTCTTCTCCTCAAAGGTGACGTTAGGAAGCTTGGCAAGCTTTTGAGCAACAGCGCTGCTGGTGGATCTGGTCAAGGCGAGCAGGCGGTATTCCTTGAGGTGTGCTAAGGTCTGGGAGTTTTGTGACAGGATCTCGGTGACCATGCGACCGGTGTTACCGGTTGCGCCGACGATGAGGATTGTTTTGGGAGCCATAATCGATTGCCTGCTTGGTAAAGATGATGTCGCAAAGCAAGATTGGTAAATAGGTGGAAGAAAGGTCGGATATCAAGATTGAGAGTTATTAGGTATAGAGTAAAGCCGTGTAGTGTACGTATGATGTGAGAGGACCTCATGACGTTGTTATAGAATCCAAAAGATCATGATATCAACTTCCTACTAATCATCTCTAGCATAAACAAGACACTAACAAGTATGATTACTCAACCACACGTACAAAGTACTACTGAAGCTGTTTCTAGATTTCAGTGAATATCGATACAATAATGGTGCGGGTGAACGTGCGTATGAACAAGGTGGGGAAATGCTTTGTAACTCCTAGACATTGCTTCTGTCTTGGTAATCACAGAAGTGGGGGTACTTGACGCGAATGACTTGGCTACTCGCCGGTGATAGCTTGGCAGTGAACTTAAAAGTTATGCAAATACCGCTTCAAGCTTGGGTTTTGTACAGTAACTAGGTATAATATGTTCTAATATTTCCGCTGTTCTCTTGTTGTTGTCGCATATGTAGGAGGAGACACCTCATATAAGGTACTTATCAATAGATACCTTGGATACACATGAGATCTCGGAACTACATGGCTGAGCATGAGCCATGGAGTCCCTGCCTTGTTATGATATGGTTCTGAATTAATGTGTTTGTTTATTGATGTCGGATCTCGAATGGTGTAACTTTATTAGATCACTACCCTAGTACTAATGTGTGTAATGCCTTGTCCACGTCAGCCAAGCTGTATCCGTATGCAAGCAATTCCTCCTTCGGACGGATGATAGCTCACACTCTCCTCGGAATATGGATTGTTTACTTTAATACTCGAGGAAACAATGTCCTCTCCCATAAGTCCGTGATCCACTCCACCCAAAAAGTGCCTGAGATGCTAAGCTTTACGGGGCCTATAGGCTATGACCGCATTTTCGATCTATCTTTTAATCTATCAACAAACACCATTTTATCTTCTTTCAAGGCTCGATTGTTCAATAATTATGGCAGATCAACGCTTCCAAACTCCTCCACCACGCGACTGGCACTATCAAAAGAACTATGAGATACCCACGAAGAGTAAGGAAGCTATGCATGAGCTCTATATTGCTGCGAAATGGTCAAGAAAGCGGGTTCAACGACGATAGTAGCTCGGCAATTTTACAGTACGCGAAGTACTCACCTACGGTCGACCCTGAACGCGTAAGGCCTACTCGTACAGGCAAGCCTCAACTCGTCACTGACGATAAACTCGACGATATCATCGAGTATATAAGCAAGAACTGGGAGAATAGTGTCATGAACTATAAGCAAATCGTCAAGGAATGCGGCCTAGCCTGTATGCCGAAAACGCTACAGAATAGGCTTCACTCTAGGGGCTATTATCGCTGTATAGTATGCCAGAAGCCCTATCTTACTCTTATACAGGTATTAGCAGGATTCCTATGGGCTTGCTCGCATGTTTTTGGGACCAAAGAGTGGTTCTGTATCCTATGGTCGGATGAACGTACTATACTTATCGGCGCTCGCACTGTAAAGCGGAAAGTAATTTTAACGCAAGGCGAAAGATATCATGAAAGCTGTATCCAACATCAGTTTCATGGCTGAATACTATACCTGTCAATATATTCGCAGCTATTGGGCATGGATATAAGAGTCCTCTAGTATTTCTTGACGGATCTGGCAAGTGCGGCGCTTTCACTCAGCTAGATTGTCCATACCAAGTACTTGAGGTTTATATCTTAAAGATTCTTGCAGACTTTTCAAAGTTTACTCGTACGAAAGGTCAAGAGCCTCTCTTCATTGAAGATGGAAACTCAGTCCATGGCTATAAATCTACGAATAATCCTTGTGCTCGCTTCCGCCGAAGACATAACATCGATCTTCTTCCTCATCCATTATCGTCACCGGATATGAATCTCCTTGAGAGTTGTTGGCGGCGGCTCAAGCAAATCTTTACCGTCGCAAAGAGCAGCTAACGAATGTCGCTGAGATACAGGCTGCGTTCTGTAAGGAGTAGGCATTAATACTATTAAGCTGGATTAATAGCCTTATTGAAGAGCAGCAGTATTGGGTCCAGTTTCTTGTACAACGTCGTGGCCCACGCATCCTCGCCTCTTGATGGCTTCCACCCCAAGTTTCGTGCAACGTTAGCGATGGTGCGTGCATTGCTTGCAAAAGCAGTCTCTCTTTCCATCTTTGCAGTCAGCACTTCTTGTCAGCAACCATGTCGCCACAGTTGCATGATAGAGCTTACAGAACTGGCTTCCCTGCACGCTTCTTATCGAAACAAGGGAAGCACTATGCTAATGCTCGGGAGTGCAAACTTCGTGCAACATATCGCCAGCAAATCACAGGCGGCTGCAACCGCTATCTGTAGGCGCCGACCTGTTATCTAGCACGAAGCGCACTTGCCTGCCTTGTGCCCTTCTCTCGTTGTTTAGCATCGATCGTTTCAGTCAACTGTCCATCCTTTTATTCTTAGTAGGTTCAAAATAATTGCTTTCATTCCCACACTTCAACCATCTGCCTACATCAAACATGCCATCATCATATCCTAGCCCCGCAAATGCGCCTCCTCCAGAGAGGCTGAAGATCGACAGTGATCCGGCGCGCCGGAATGAACGCTCTCCAACAAGATCTCATGCATATATACCGGTTACTCCTTCGGCACACCCTCCAGCGATCCATGCTAATACCCCTCCAACATCCACCTCGAAAACTGGATCTGTTTCGGTCGTCAAGGCTACTGCTGTCCCAGCTCCGATGAGCTTCGAGGGTCTTAAAAAAGAGTTGAACCTTGGCACCGGAAAATGCGGGTCGCCCACAAAGAAAGAAGGAAACCCTCCATGTAAAAATCCAAATCCTGGCGACATCGGCAGTCAGATCAAGTCTATGACGGCACTGACTCAAGCGTCCGCGGAGCTTCCTCGCGAGCTTGAGAAACTTGCAGAGCTAGCTCTCTGCAAGCACCATATCATACGCGAAAAGAAGGCTGCTCGAATTAAACTCTGGAAGAAGGGTTTCCCAATTGGAGACGAGAAAGCAGTCCCACTTGAGCCGATTACAGATCGAATTAAAAGTGTACTAGATTGCTTCTCGCCAAATACCTCTAGCTATACCTGCGTAGGTGCGAAACAAGACAGTGACACACCTTGTTTGATGCGAATTGGCGGCAAAAGGGCCCTCAAAGGCAAAAGGACAATTGCTCTGATTATCGAGCCAGACAATTACCCACACGAAGACGAGCTTACGTGCCTTCTAAAGGTCCTTGCCTCTAATGTGATCTGTCACCACCACAAAGGACAGATCCCCGACGTGGTCGCACAATGGAAGCACCGAATCACTATGATATACGAAGCTTATCCTGCACAGGAACAACCGCTCAAGTCGACATACAGTACAGGTTTTTTACGGAGGCTGAAGGGTGATCCAGCAAAGTTCTGGGACGATGCTGATGACAAGAGCGCTTTCCGCACTGAAATAGAGAAGGATAGACCCTCAGATGACTTGGCATGCTATTCCCTGATTCAACATAAGATCATGGAGCCATTGAAAAAATCAGAGTTGGTTGAAGGCTATGTTTACGCCTACGAGGTCGAGGGCAATGAAGGCTTCGTCAAAATAGGATACACTACACGACCTATTGAGGTTCGCTCAGCAGAGTGGAAGGTCGAATGCGATAGGGCGCCTAAAGTTCTATATCCTCTTGGACCCACCGAGAAGATCCCGCACGCCAATCGTGTCGAAGGCCTGTGTTTAGCAGAACTGAAGCATCGGAATATGACGGTGATTTGCGAAGCTTGTCCCAAGCGGCACATAGAATGGGTCAAGACTCCTGCTGCGGAGGCCATTACGGTGATTCAGAAATGGACGAATTGGATCTTGACAGCGCCGTACAATGATTCGAAGAGGCAACCTAGTCAATGGGAAGTGGATAACGAAATTACTTCGTGGAACCTCAGGGACGAGGAGGAGAAGAGAACTGGCGATATGCTCAACTTCATGGATGAGCTTCTCTGCCAGGAGGCAACGATAGTTGGAGGAGACAGTGATCGAAAGCCGTGTTTGCAGGAAACCAGTGCTCGAGGGAGAAGATACCAGAAGCGATGCTTGCAATGAGCCAGAGCTCTAGGAGAGGACTATTGAAAGCTATGTCGTGCGCTCCTCCTGCTCGACTGCGAGTAGGTCATCGTGCGAGGAAGGGTGAACACCGGTCGGTTGATCTCCATATCCCTTTGACGATACTGTCGACGTGAAGACATTCGAGCAGATTAAAGCGGTGGTAGACGAGATAGACCCTACACTCTGCTGGAGGGCTGTGCAAGAATGCTTGCTGCAAGCTCATTTACTCGCTTTCAGAATTGAAGCTAGGCTGTATGTAAGCCACTCATTCTGCTATTTGGAGGTATTGACTAAATCTCCTCCATAGGCGTAACGACGAGCCATTCCACATTTCACTTCTATCATCACAATATCGAACGTTAATAACGGTTCTCGGGTTTACCAAGTTACAAAACATTGCCTCCAAACTTATACACCACATCGACATATCGAGCAATCCAGGAATGAGCGTGTATCAGGCCTTACAGGACCTCAGGGTCGAAATCCCAAAGGTGGAGCAATACCTGGCGATCACATATTTTCAGAAGAACTATTGATGTTAATCGAATGTACATTTGCTGTTGTCAAAGCACGTAACCCAAGCCATTCTCCAGATTTTAAGTAAGGAGTGCTTACGACCTAGGAAGTATAGAAGGCTACAGGCTACAGTAACATGGCCTCCACGCAACCTTTACCTTGAATGCACGTGGTGATGGGAGTTATCTTGAAGTATTTGCCGGCGTCTCAAAATCTCTGGAGGGTCGTCCAGCGTTGCGGCACGACATGGCACAGCTGCGACACTGCTACTGCACGTCAAATTATACTTAGGTAAGTTGGACACGGCTTTCCTACATTCATCTTCCTGAGCGCTCGTGCGTCAAAGATTTCAATGTTGTGGTGAAGCTTAAATAAGTTCTAGATCTGGCTGCTGATGTATGTTGACAATGATATAGGGCAACATGTCGAGCCACCAGGAGTGTATTCTGGGATCTTATCGAACTCGAGGAACTGAAGAATTGATGAATTTCATACGGTGCGATTGATTGCTGGGGCAGTAGGAGATATCTCTCGCCTTGGCTCGCACAACGGCAGGAGGTGCGGCAATCTCGATACTTGCAATTACAGAAGGCATTCTGCAAACAATGTTGAAGGACAAAGTTTGCTTGAAAGATATTCACTGGTCAGAGCATGTGAGGTAAAGACAATGAACTCTACAACGTGGTTCTAAAGCTTCTTGTACTGGAAGAAGACCAACGCCTCTCCCTTTCCTCAATATCAAGTGGTAGCATGGCATCGGAGATTATGCAGTTCACGAGATTAGATCACACCAGCGGCTATTATTCATCTCTGTTAAGAATAAGAAAAGCTTAGTACTAGATATCTATAGTGAAGAGAGTAAGGTATTAAGAAAAGAGTAGCTTCTAACTATAGCTACTATTAGAAGTAATTAAAGAAAGTATTAAACTATAATATATAGAAAGACTTTAAAAATAATATAAATAGATTAGTATTTAATATATTAGTATTAGTTAATAGAATTAATATAAAGACTCTTATTAATACTAAATATTCTACTTATAGTATAATTAATTTCTACTTTATAAGAAAATATAAACTTCTATACTACTAATACTATTTTAAGCTATAGTAGTCTTTAATAGAATATAGAAGACTACTATAAGTCTAGATATTTTATATATATTATTTTAAGAATAGATAATAAAAATATAGTGTTACGGGAAAGCTATATATATATAAGGGCTTACTTGTAGAATTAAATAAGTTCAATAAAGGAGAGAGAAGGATTCTACTCGGAGCCTACCTTTTATATATAGAAGTACGGCGCTTAGTAGTAGCGCTTTATATAGCGTATTAGGGTAGGGCCCTCGCTTAGTAAGTACTAGTACGTATAGCTAGTATTCTACCCCTAGAGTCTAAACCCTTATATTACCCCCCTCCTCCTATCTATAGTCTATCGGTATCTATATTTACTACTAGGTTATTCTATTAGTAGTTCTCCCTTAAAATAATACTTTATTCGACGTATATTTGTCGGATTTTATTTTCTCTCTATAGTCTAAAATATAATTATTTTTAAACCTAACCTTTTCCTACTTTACCTTTACTAACTTTACCTTTATATATTCTTTTACTTTCTATTTCGATCTAATTAAATAGGGCCTATCTCTATAACTACTAGTAATCCGCGCTATAAATACTAGAATCCCCCCCTCTTTTTATTCTTTCTTTCTTTTTATTAACTAACTAAAATAAAGGTAAGTAGATCTCTTATTAGACTCTAATAGAAACTAATCGAAGAAAGATAGCCCCCTCCCCTAGTAGCCTATATTTATTACGCTAGATACGCTAACCTCGCTATTAACTATATCGATTAAGATATAAGTTATAGAATCTACTCTTTTTCTATTAGGGTCTACTAACTTTATTAGCTTATATAAGCCCGGTCTTATATCTCTTATACCTATTTAAAATATACTTATAAGGACTTATAAGTTAACTAGACTCTAATTAAAATATATTACTAACCGATCTATAGACTATAGTTTACTTATATCTCTTATATTACCTAGATATATTCTATAGCTAAGGAGGTATATATTTATCGGGCTTCGCTAGTTTTATATCGGCTAATAAGTATTTTAAAAAGAATACCTATAAGAATTTAACTAAAGTTCTAAAAGCTTAGTACGCTTTAAAGCCTCTCTAGAAGTCTAGATTACTTTCGTCGTAAATTACCTACTTTCTAATAATTTTCTATCGCTAACCGCCCTTTTTAGAAGCGTTACTAGTAAAGTTTCTCGATCTATTATCTCGGTAATCGCCTAAAATAGTCTACTATAAGTTATTAGATTCCGCTTATTTTCTATCGCTAACTACCTTCTAGCTCTAATAAAGTCCCCTTAGCGCTTTAACTCGGAGTCTAGCGTAATAGCCTAGTACTCGCCCTAAAGTAGCCTAAAGTTACTAAGTCTAAGGATTCTAAGTAGAAGAAGAGAAAGCGTAATAATACTTAGTAAATCTTTTGGCCTCCGGCTCTTTTTTTATAGTTTCTAGTTTTAACTTTAGCCTAGTAGATTTTTCTTTCTATTTTTTTAGTATATACTCTAGTCTAGTAACTTTTACTTAGTCTCCGCTTAGTTATACGCGGCCTTTAGCTACGACCCTAGTACTACTTAGTAGAATTATTTTTCTATAGTATAACTTACTTTTTCTATAGTATTTTCGGTAGTCTCTATATAGAGAATAATCTAATAAAATAACGTAATAATAATAAAACTAAAACTTCTTTCTAAAACTTCTATAATCTATAAAATATATCTTAGACTTTATAATATTTATATATTTTTTATTTATTCTTAATTTTTCTTCTCTTTTCTCTATACTATTAAAGGGCTATTATAGAGTCTAGGATCTCTATAAGTAGTCTTAAAGTCGTCTATAGCTATAGTATCTATTAGGTTTTCTAAGGGTTTCTAGGTTAGCTTATAGTAGCCGGACTATTTTACTAATACTTATCTAACTTTTCTTCTTCTCTTAGCTTTATCTTTAGTATAAAGTATCTCTTCTACTTACTATTCTTTATACGTTTTAAATAGCTTAAGTTTTAGCTATTTATTATTAGTTTTCTACTCTAGTAGAGAGTCTTAACTTACTAGCCGTAAGAGGTCTATATAAAATATAGAGTAAATATTACTAGAGATCTCTAATAAATAAACGAATACTAGTAATAATACCTTTTTTACTATATATTTTACGTATTTATAGTCTAGGCTTCTCTTAGGTCGAGATATCTAGTAGTTATATAAGTCTAACTATACCTTATTATCTACCTAGTAAACTAGGGCCGGAGTTCTCTTTTTATTAGTACTATCCTCTTATTTCTAAATAGTATTCGCTATATTTGCCTAATATAGCTTAGTAACTCTCTTTATCTTTTTTATAAAGACTTTTACTCTCTTAGCTATAAGGAGCCTAATATCGAAATCGGGCTCTATTTCTAGAGAAATAAGAGATAGTAAGTCGTAACTATATATTATAAAGAATAGACTTATCTCTAAGCCCGCTTAATAACGACTATTAAGTACTAACTAGGTAGTAGGGAGCTATTATTTCTAATTAGATTAATCTCGCTTAATAAAGTACTTTAAGTATACTTATACTTCTTAGTTTATTCTCTCTAGCCCTTTATCTATTTATAGATAGTATCTAGAGCTTAATCTCTATTAAATACTACTTAAGTAATAGAAGGCCTTCTAGAATATACTTATCTAGTTAGTCTCTCTATTACTAGTAATTATATAGGATATCTCGTAGTATTATACCTAGTACTCTATAAATCTTTTAGTATACTTCTTAGCTTTTATACTAGGTATCGCCTCTAATATAATAGTTTTACTTAATTAGTCTTTAATTATCTATAGGTATCGATTCCCCTTAGAGTTTAGTAGGTCGGTTATAAAGTCTATAGAGATTTTCTAAAAGAATTAATTAGATACTAGTAATAGTTTTAGAAGACTATACTTATTTTCTCTCTATACCTTATTTCTTCTATAATAGTCGTAGTTTCTTAGAAATTACCTTATATACTTAGACTATAGTAGCTAATAAAAACTACGCCCTAGTATAAAAGTAGTAGAGTCCTAACCTAGATAGCTATAAACTAGAGAATTATAGATAGACTAAATAAGCTTTATTCTTAAAGTATTATTTTATAAAAGTTTAAGTTTCTTTTTATCTATATCGCTCTTCGACGAAAAGAGAGCTTCTAGAACCTATAGCTTTTTATAGTAGTATAGGTAGCTATTTATATTAATATTATAGTCGTCTACCTAGATCTTTATTTTAACTTTACTTAAGAACGATCGGTTATCTTTTTATAGTAAGTAGAGAATAGTTTAGTATAGTATATCTTTCTATACCGTCTTATTTTATAATTTATTTATTTCTAGGTTCTAGAATAGGGCTAAGGACTTTATATTTTAATAGTCGGAATTCTA